GTGTGTGTGTGTATGTAATTCCCATCACAATGATTTAGAGCGGTAAGGCAACGACACTGAGATTGGAACCAAGTTTTATAATTGACTTTCTTAATTAAGTTTTATTTAAGAATTGTTTAACACTTCACGAACACTCAGGCTAACACCTAGAGATCATAATACACATCTAATTGTGGATATTTGATTACAAACATCATACAAATATAAATAAAAGAATAATAATTTTGTCTCAAAACAATTTACTACTCTTCTTACAACTTAACTGAGATGCTACTGTAAGATTTGAACTAACACTGACAAACAATACTAAATTAGGTTGAAAAAGATTAAGACAACAAAGTCATGTTAGTTTCGAAAAAAATATATTTGTGAATCCTGAACGTATTATCGACCTGAAGTTTTTGGTACTGTAGAAGATTAACGCATGCAATTAAAAATTTCCCTAAGCATATATCAAAGCAAGAGCGATCTCTCTTGAGGAGGAGGAGGAGGTGGTGGATGGGATGATCAGTGCCCAATGGAAAATCCCCGCCTCGGCTGGCGCCCAACCGGCCGTCGCAGCGGCTCGAGTGCAAGAGTGAAGGCGAGTGGGAGTGCGAGTGCTAGGGCAAGAGCGAGTGCAAGTGTAAGGGGAGGGGTTGAGAGAGGGCGAGGGTGAGAGCGATTCGTTGTGCGTCACCATCGAGAGAAACACACCTTCTCAGCTGGCGTCGCGCCATTTCGTTCCATCAGAATCAATCCATTGTCTGTTCCGCCGCACTTTGATCAGAATTAGCAAAAGACAGAGAAATTGAAGGTACAGAAAAAATACTTTCTACCTTCGCACCGTGTGCTATTTTTTCATTTTATCTACAAATTATTTTTAATGACATAGATATAAAAATTAAGTGAACTCGATAATGAAATATGAAAGGTACCTGCAATTTTTCAGTGATTGGCATCCTACTACATAAATCTCCTGTTGACATGTATAAACGCATGCAATCCATCACCGCTTGTAGACAAGTGACGTCACAGTCACCATTGCTTTCCTTAGCCTACGCAGACGTCACTTCGACTAGAGATGATTGAACGTCTCGGTGAAGATAACAATTGCGTAGAATATTGCGAACTACAGATTTCATCTGATAATTTACAGCACCGGGCCTACAGGAGTTGTTGTCATAAATATTATGTAACGGAAAACAACTATTTTTCAAGCATATCTTTTGCAGAACCGTCTGTGGTGGGAGGATGTTTGACGGCAGCGAAACCTGGTCGACGCCAACCACTGAGTCGCAAGAGAATTCCAGAGGCCGGCTGCCCTGGTCGGTCGTTTGCGTGGTTTCCGTCCATCAATTTCAGATGGATGCTCCAGTTCCTTGCACAACGCACGCAATCCCTCTTTCCGAAACGTTTTCCACTCCCTTACTGAGGAGCGAGTCACGGGCTGCTTCTGTATCCTCTTATGGGCCAATCTGATCTCCTGTCCTCATATTGATATATGACTTAAGAACACCTCTTACCGTTGCCTTAAGAATGTATTGTAAATCAATGTTTTGAAAGTGAAAATAGCTGCGGACTCGAAACGAACTTCGAACGTGTCTGACAGGCGACTCATGTTACGGAATAAGGGTATCATTTAAAAGTGTAATAATAGTCTACCATTTAGGGGCATACAAATGCATTTATAACTAATCTAATGGTCTAAATCGCAATTCCTGTTGCGAATTACACGTGTGGCTGCTTTTTATCAAAATCATAATCTGCGAACGTTTATTTTTTCGTCATTAGCCTGGTTGATGGTGGGGTGGATCCCTATCCTACAGTAGCACACTTAATTCAATTCAATTCAATTTAATGATGCCTTGTTTTACGTAGCGAGGCTAATCAGACCTGCTCTTCTGCCCTGCCTAAAATTCCCTTCACTTCCTTTGCCATATATCAGCAAAAGAATATATTGTTCGGGCGATTAGAATTTTGCTCATATGCTTCTATTAGCTGAATAATATTTTATCAGAAATAAATCTACAACATGGGACGGCCAGCTTTACGTTCCTCCACCGAAGGAAGGCGTTCGATGGATTATTTGCCCTTAAAAATTCACGACTTCGATCGGTTCTGGATTCTAGAATTTGGGTAGAACAGTCCGTTATGCTAACCGTCACACTGCCGAATCCGTGTAAACGGGGTTTTGTATCATTGGGTTGTAATTAATCAAGTTCTAATAGGAACCATACCGCCATTTTCACTTAGTGTATTATATAAAGAAGGTTTTTCACAGAGCATTCTCTCTTAACGCCCCTCTCCTTGCAAATTCCTCGTGAGGCGACCACGTCAGCCTCCGTCACCGGGCTGTCCCCTTCGCCGCCGTAGCAGTCGCTGTCACCGCTCCAGAAGCCTTCTACCACCCGTCCAAGGAGCGGTCATTTGCATAGAGAAATTGGTTCGCCCCTATGGCGTAAGTTTTCTAAATCCCCTCAATTAAGCTGAGCGGAGAGGAGAAAGTGGGATTGAGCGGTGGCGGTGGCGGCTGTCGTCCGGGCGGTGATAAAACGCTCGCCCTGCAAATGGAGCGGAACGGCGCGATGTCGCTTATTGCTGCGTGCGCACGAAAGTGGCACCTTGCACCCATGCTAGCCAGCGTGCGACAAGATTTCTGGGACGTTAGGAGCGGATGCAGAAAGTGTTTCGGAGCGGGAAAAGATAACAGTTTGGATCCTCCAAAGATATTTTTGAAATAATCTTTTTTTTTAAGTTGAGAGCTTTAATTTTAAAAAATGTACAAGCATATCTTAATGAGAATACTCCTATCAAAGGACAGAGATATACTATATTAGGTAATGATTTTGAATTACCTGAGTAAAACTACTAAAAATATTAGCTTTGGGGGTGACCATTGCCTCATTGCTCCTCTTGGATGCGACTCTGAGAAAGGTACTTCTCACTTGGTGAAAGTTCGCACGGTCACATACAGATTAAAGATCTCGAGTTAGTGTAAAAATGTTTATTACCAATGACTGGAATATAATACATTGATTCAGTCAGAGTGACGTGCGAGTTCTTACTGATTTCTCTATTCACGTTGCTAGTCAGTAATTTCTTCATTGAAGCGGCCTATTGACATTTATGTGTTTGAAGTGAAATCGTTAGGAATACCGTTCTAGGGGTTGATATTGCTTTTTGAAGAGTAGCTGCTACCGTTGCGACATTAATACACAGGATTTTTAATAATATAGTTCCTTGTGCTTATTTTTATAGTTACCGTATTAAATATTTTAATATATTTTCACATTTCTTGTGCATTAATTTAAATTATCGATGTGAATGTAAAATGGTGTTGAACTGAAGACTTTCTATTTTAAAATTCTGTGTATGTTCCAAATAATACTCTACTGTGTATTACAAGAAAGAAAAAATGACATTGAGAATGCTTTGATAAATTTATATTTATCGATTTGTTTGCGATAATTCCAGTAATCATTTTGTTAAAATACATAGAGAAAGAGACAATGTAATTTACATTAAACACATACAAGAATTATACACCTTTTGGGTATGAATTTGTACCTACAACATGAAATTTTTGCTGAAAAATCGCCATTTTTGCTGCAGAATTATAAAACTTCCTCTGTACTACGTAGTATCTAGTACGCGAGTAAAATGCATTTGATTGATGACGATGTACGATAGTTTGTTAAACATGTCTTGAGAAATGATAATATACATGGATTATGGATATCTTTTTCGCATTAAAAATTGAGTACCGAAAGAAAATGATATTGAAGTAATCGATTATGAGGGCTTGATAATATCGACCTATCGAATTCTTTTGACTGTCATAGCAACCCTGCATCTTGGAGTATTTTGCAGACTTGTCGTCCAACGTTATATAGACAGCCATGATCACAAACGTTCAGGAAAGATGCTACGCTGAAACGTCGCGAGGCCAGCCGGCAGCATTCGGTTGATTGTGCCCGCAGAAGCTCAGGTCTTCACCTAACTTCCCTCTGTTGTAGGCATCGATACCGAATCGATTGCGTCATCCTGGCGGGCGCCCCCGTGTTCCAGGAACACCCGCGGCGCGCGACCGCCTGTGGAAAAAGTGCACGGTGGCGTTGTGCGGAGTCCTGCTTCCTCCTCGCGTGATTGGCTGCTCGCCTCTATCGGGCTCAGCTGTCTGGTGTCGTGAAGCGAGGGCTTGTTCGGATGATGGGCTTCCTTGTTCTAGTTTTGTTGCGCTAGCCCCTCGTGTAGCGCTGATGATCGTGACTAGACTGTTTTGGTAACAAGACATCTGGAGATGTATGTTCAAACTTTTAATTTGGGTGTACCCTCTCACCTAGGTTACATTTAATTTTCTTATCTGTGTTACTAGTACTTGCACAATACTTAGTGTGCATTCTTGTACTATCACAATTCTACCAAAGGTGATTGTGAACTCAAACACGCTATTCAATATTCTTAGAGAAAGCAAACAAACAATAAAACAAATGAACAAAAAATAATATGCAGGTGATACTTTTTATCTCTCCACTTGCCCAACCAGATGATATTATTTCTGATCAATTTTTGTCTTTTGCTAAATTATGCATCGCTTTTGGGTTATTTGGGAAAGTAGATTGCAAAAATAAGCAATTAATAAGAAAAAACACATAGCACATTTAGAGAGCAATAAAAAATAATTGAAACGATGAGTGATTCTAGAAATTAAACAAAAAAATCACACTCAACAGCAACAGTAAAAAACTGAAGCATTTATACAGTACCCTCTTTCAATTTTCTGAGGAATTTAAATCTTTAACTACCAGGGACCCTATTTGGCGGCGAAAATTGTAAAAGGACTTTATACTATCTTTTTATTTAAACTCACTTTGCACTAAACATTTTCAATTCTCATGTTATTACAATAAACTAAATATTATGCAAGTAAATTCATAAAATAATAAATTTCAAAAATAAATACTTAAAACGATTAGGCATGTTCCTGTCCTTAAACAAGAGAGGTTAGTGACCCTCACGGCTTATAATCGCCACCAGCAACTTCTTATTATGAAAATCACCGAGTACGGAGGCGAGCCCGCTCTCTCTTCTATTTTCTTCTAGCCGTAATCACGTCGTAGGTTTTATGAATATATTTATGTAAAATGCACACGCAAGCGCGTTTATTCCACAATCGCCTAATATAAAGAAGATCCGAAGGTCAAATTTTTAACTGTTGAAGCGCCTGACTTACCACTGAACTGCCTGGTTCACAGCATAGCCTTCAGCGTTCGATATTTCGTACCTGAAAAAATGGAAAAGAGAAAAAAGGAATTAAAATTTACGTAATCCTTGAATTTGTAAACGCCGCAGTAGCCGCACTTTTACGCGGGAGTTGATGGAAGATAAATAGAAGAGTCGACCATGCATATAAACTCCCGGTAATCGGTGTTTTCAGGTAATCGCGACCATAATGACGGAGTTTGGAACCATCGAGATAAAGACTGCCTGCAGGCCGACGGTTTGGGCTCGGGGCGTGGCCGTATTATAAACGTTACGACCTACGTCCTCGAGCACAGACCCTCCGAACACTGCTTATCAGTGCGCAAGGGATAATCTGTGAGATGGCTCTGTGGGGAGTTTGACGCTGCGGGTGACATTCTGTGCAGCCTCTCGCGGCTGTGTCCTCGTGATGCAAGTGTGGTGAATCACGACACACCTGCATGGAAATTTTCGGCGTTAAGCTTGACTAAGAGCCTGACTTATTTTGCATGAAAACGCCTGCTTCCAAGAAATTCTCGCTTCCACGAAATATAAGCCATTACGGTTGATTGTCAGTAACTTGTGGGGGTTTGAGCATGAGAAGGAATGTTGATGTCACAGTTTGCATCTCTGCTGAGAAGCTAGAAGGTACACATCGTTTAGTTAGACCTCACTTTTTTTGCAGCCCTAACGTCTAACTTTTCAAGTAAGAAACAGCATTGCGCTAGATAGAAATCAGGAAATATAAATATTGGATACGTGACTGTAGTCATAAAATTAATTAAGAAAACTTCAACCTTTATAACACCCATAACCATAAACGGAGAATCTCGACACATCATGCCTTGAGAAATGAAAAAAACACATTGAAAAACTGACAACAGACAACTTCAAAAAAAGGATTTTAAAAATTACGCAAGATTTTTTTTAACTTGTATATTTCTTCAGAGAACACTGCAAATCTAATCTAACCTAAAATAAGTATATGAAGTGTCGCGACGAAAGTTGCCTAGATTGTTTCTGCTGTAGTGCAGACTCCTTTACAACTGCATCAATATTGATTACTGCTATTTAAGGCAAACGTACTTCATACAACTATTTACTGCACAAGTGCTGGGCAGTTCCATTAACAACATGACGTTTAACAAGGACGAATAAAAACGCTTTTTTGATCCCGCGTGAACGATTGCTTAACGAGTTCAAAATGAACAACTTTCACGTCACTTCAAGAGCGCGTTGCCTCCCAGCCAGCGACTGCGTTCGCTCTATTTCAAGAGCGTTGCTTTTGTTTTAGAGAGCGTGCGTGAGAGCGTGAGGGGAAAGGCATTTGCAGTGTGAGCTCGAAACGGGTGGATATGTTTCGCGTGCGGTCAGTCATCTCAGCCCGAGCGTTGAGAGACAAAGGTCTCAAGTGATCGCAACACGATCTCCGCGCTGCGGTCGCAACCACACGGCCGCCCCGTTGAACCACCAGCACGGCAGAAGCACGGTGGCTCGGCACCACCAACTCGCCTTGTTCGTAACAGATTCCGCGGGTAATCCGTATATTTAGTGGATCGCAAAAAGAGAGCGTACGAACGATATGGAGCTGCTCGTTACTCCGCTTTTTACGGCGCGCTCCGAAAATAAATAATCTCGCAAGGGCGGGGGGGGGCTGGCTTGTAACGCGCGTCATTTCGCTGCCTTCTTATCGCGGGAGCTGCGTCCCGAGCGCGGTGCGGGCGGCGATCGAGAGTCGAATCGAGGGTTGCGGCCGCGACCGCAGGCTCACGATCGCGCTGTTAGTGGTCGACATCTGGC